GCAAAGACAAGCCCACAAATGCGAAAAAAATAAAAATAATATAAAATAGAAACTACAAAAGGTGTAGACTCCCCAAAGAGTACTTTTTTTTTTTTTTTGCACATTCAGGAGTTGGAATATCTAGAACTTAATGGTAGCTTTTAATGCCTGACACGCTTTAACCCACTTACTAGCCATAAACTTTAACGAAATATCTTTGGGTAAACTACGGAGGGGTGTTAACTTCTCGGAAAACTACTTCGCAGCAGTGAAAACTATTTAGCCAAGTGATGGAAACCTTTTGCAGCTGGAAATGGCGCAATTTCCCAGTTTACTGTATGGTATATATATATCTATATAAACATATATATATAGGCACGATTCTGATTTCATTGATACTCGTATGGGTGCAAGTGGCATTGCTGCTCTGAGTAGTTCTTTGTACCTACTTGTATATGGCACTTAATGGTATAAATATGTGTTTATTTTTTGTGTAAATAAACATTTCCTCAAAGATTTGAGATTGTAGAAAGAGCTTAGTTTCTTGATTTAGATGGAAGGGTTATGGAAGTGTTTCCCATTAAATCCCTTTCCTAGAATTCGAAAAGCATTTTGTAATTTCTAGAGCTATTTATTCCAGTTTATCGGGGGGGATCTCTGGACCTTCTTAACCCCCTTAAGCTTAACAATTAGCCATTAAATTCCGAGTCCTCCATTGCATTGTTAACCCTTCGATTGTTTGCCAAACATGTGCTGCTCTTCTCCGGGGATGTATTTGCCACCAAAGTGGGTCAATGGATGCCGTCTGGCTATCTGACTCCGGCCATTTAATCGTGGCCAGATCCCTGGTCCGTTGCTTATTACGATTTCCCATTTACTTATGCATAATTGGAACTATTGCGATTGATTTTGCTTCTACGGAGGAGGAGGAGGAACAGCAGCAGCAGTACTTGGTGTGCAGCTAGGGCATTGTGTTTCGTTTTTGTTGTTTGCCTCCAAGCCGCCAAGCCGCCATGCTGCCATGCCTCCATGCCAATCATGCAGGTTGTTGAACTCCCCTAGAATCGCACACTCACATGTGACCGACCGGGTGAGTGGCTCTCAGAGACCAGAGACCCAGCTCTTCGGCTCCGTTGCCAGTTTATTCTGATTCTGGATCCGAATCCCAATCTGCCGCTGATGCTCCGCCTCTAAGCTTCAGATGCTGGCGTGGATTTGACTTGACGTTGCTCTGTTGCTTCCGCAATGATTTCTTCGCAAGTACGGTGGAGACTAGATAAAGGGTTGAGGAATTTGACTAATTTTGAAATATTTATAGAATAATATAAACGATATCTTGTTATCAAAAGTGTTCTATAAAAACACCCAATAATTATAATAAAAATCCAACCTAAAAATCTGTTTACTAAATGTCTGAAATGAATCTTTAATATCTTTTCTTTACTTTTTGATAACTTGAAAAATCTTATAATTATATCTTAAACAAACTTCGTTAGGATTTTACTACACAGTTTCTCTTATTGATCATTTACTGTATCTGACTTTTTGGTCTTTTTCTATATGCCTCTTTTTCCTTTTCCTTTTCTTTGGCTCTTCCACAGTTCTTTGGCTTTCTTTTGCACAATTACCAGCCAAGTTTTGGCCTCACTTTACTTTACTTTTGCTGCTGTTGGGTTCTTCTTCTTTATAACTATACAAATATAGTTTCTAATGCCAGAGGTCCCATTGTCTGAGTCTTCATTTCCGCCGTTCTTGTTCTTGTCCGTCCATCCTCTCCAGCTCCACCAACTCGACTCAACTCCACTCATTGTGTCGTGCTCAAGTCTCCATTGCGATATTTTCTCAATTGCATTTTGGACCACGACCTGACAATGACATGTGTCCCCATCTCATCTGTATCTTTCATCTCCCATCATCTCTCGGCTCCCAACTTGTCTTGATCCCATCCTCAACACTTTCGAATGCCGCGGGCCCTTAACAATTTTCTAACAAAAATCACAGCTTTCGTACACGGAGAAAAATGAAGTAATGATGGGGAAATATTTGGTTTTTAATTTTATTTTTTTTATCCATTAACTGGAGAAAGATAATTAGTTTATTTGTTATTGAATGTGGTTTTAAGTTTTTTTAAGTTTAAAACATTTAAAACTCTTTAAATTAACTTTTTTTGGGTTTTAACCTAGAGTTCTAAACTTTTATGACTTTGACTTTGATTTGGCATTAGAAAAGCGTAACATAACTTATCAAAATCATATTTATTTTGTTTTTTCCATGTGTAAAAACAAGAAGAACACGTAAAAACCAAGTTGAAAGAACTCTTTGGGGGCATTGTTGGTCTTTTTTTTTGCTTTTGATTGGTTTGACCGATTTACATTGTGCAAAAGAAATGAGTTTTTGGGGGAGGTATACGAGTAGGAGTAGAGCGGGTATAGAGCCAAATATGCCCGCCGAGGGCTTTTCATTTGTTTTGGCCTACATTGGGCCCAAAAACATGTTGCTGTTCGTTTTCTCCCACATTTGGCTCTCCTGTTCAGAAGTTTTTAGCCATTTCTGATAATTAAAAAGGCAACATTTCATTTCATTTGTTTTGTTTGCCTGCCTGCCTGGCTATTTGCTTTTCTAAGGCTGTTATGCTCCCTTGGCAGTTTGCCCATTGGCTGTGCCAGAATCAGAATCACCATAAAACGGAGTGGACAGGAGGAGCTATATAACTATAAGGCTATATGGCTATATGGCTATATGGCAGACTTAATTGAGTCCAAAGTGAAGTGGTGGGGTTGGAGGAGACTAATATGGAATATCTCGAAGTGTTGCCAAGTAAACTTGGAGTGTATTTATTGCCTTAGACTTGCAGACTTGGCCATAAACAAACATAAAATGTGTTAGAAAAATATTTGTAAATTTCATGAATGCAATGTTAGTCCCTTTTGGAATGATTAGCGAAGGGTTGACCTTTTTAAGCCATAATTTGCGATCAAACAAAAGGCACAACGAACCCTTGAAGCACTTTCTTTATACGAACATGTTGAATATAAATTATAAACTTCGTAATAAAGCCGTTTTAAGTTGGGGGCATGACATAAGAAGTCTTCAGCTGGAGAAATGGAGAATGAGAAATGTTTTCAATTGCTCAGCTTAGTCACGTTCCATGGCCAACTGGAGAAATGTGTCGCATCATCGAAGGCAGTTACCAAGTTTTTGTTGGTTTTCTGATGGTTCCAAATCTCCATCTTCATTGCGTAATCTGATAGATAAAGTGGGGTGGGTAGGTGGGGGCATAATAATGCCCCTAATCCCATTTGTGATCACTTTCTATGTGGAATGGGGTCACCAGCGGGGGCTAATTTGTGGATCAAACTCGTTTTGAGGGCGCCAAATACAGTCTAAACTGGATTGAAAGTTTAATTGGTATAAAGATAGAAAGATTATTATAAGAACTTACTAAAAGGATTATTCTGTATTAAGTAAAGGCATTGGGAATTTAACTGCCAATAATCATTGCTTTGTTTATTTTCGTTTATGACAGTTTTTGAGGTTCCCTTAACGAAGTTAGACTGTAGCAATCAGATCGATTCATCGCCATTTACATATGTGTGTTTAAGCTGCGGTGATTTCTTTTCGATGCGGATTTGTGTATAAAAAACGCATTGAAAAGAAAGTTTTTCAGCTTGATGTGTGCTCGGCGGCGGCAGCAACAATAGTCGTAATAATAATTATAATATTATAACAACAACAGCAGCGGCAAGAGCGTGATGCTTGAGGCTTTTGTCTTGTCTCAATGTCACGCCCCCCCTTCCGGGCGGGTCAAGGGGGGCGTAACAGAGACAGAGACAGAGACTTTTAAGCGAGCGTTTTGTTTAAATAATCGAGAGAGACAGGCGCGGGTAAACACAAGAAAGCGTAATAATAATAATGAAAAATAATAACAATAATCATGGGCAAATGGTAGAAAACAAAAAGCACTGTCATATGTACATACATATGTATAAAATATATGTACATATGTATGTACATACATACTTACATATGTGAGTCGTACGCGAGGCAAGTGAAATTTTTTCCAACGACACTCGAAACTCTGGCGAAATTTCTTAACACTTTCATAAGAAGTCATGAGCAGAGCAAAGAAAATAAATTAAATTAAGCACAAAAGCCGCTCAGCGAGCCGTGCCTTTGGGCATTAAGATTTAAGCTTGATTTAGTTATTTTCCTCACATTTCTTTTCATTTTCATTGACGGCCTCCAACTGAGCCCGCTGCGCACTTCTGTTAGAATACAGTGGGGCCTCCCATTGCAAAAATGACTTTATATTATTTTGATCCACTGTTTTCTTGAGTAAAATTCTTATTCAGTAAACTGTCATATTGATGTAGGTTGTTGAGAAGAAAGTTAAGGCATATGGGAACAACATTTTTGAATATTAAAAAATCAATTCATCTTTTTTTAAGATTAAATTGATTAAGTCAAAGTTTTGTTTGCTCACAATTCGTTTAGAGAAGTTCCACTGTGCTTGCTGGCGATTAACAGATCATGATCACTGTTAATGGGCATCCTTTTAATTTTAACATGGGCTTACGCTCTCTCTCTCCTCGGTCTCTTTGCCTCTCTTTTGCCGGCTGACATTGAACTGTGTCAGTGGCAGTAGCAGCAGCAATAAAAACAACGACGACGCCTTGTAATGGGGCGGACTGCGCAGCTCCACTCGCTTAGCCTCTCTCTGCTACGCAGTGGACAAAATGGTTTTCGTTGACAATAGATCAATGTGTAAATATGTTAAAATGTTAAAAAAAATTTAAAAATATTAAAGTAAAAATAATTCAAATGGATTTTAAAATGTAAAAATGTTACCAATTTGCATAAATATAGTTTGCAGAATTTTCTAATTTAAATTATCAATCGCTAGATTGACTGCTTATCCCACTGTGCGCTCCTCTTTCTCTTCTGCGCATGCGCAGCAGCTCAGCCAACGCAGGCAGAGGCTGCTGGCTGCGTTTCTCGCTGTTTCGCCGTTCGTTATTCATTGTTTGTTGTCAGTCGACGCGCGTTCATCTCGTCTCATCCGCCTCGTGCGCTCGCGTCTCTTAGCTGTGATGTGGAATTAAATGATTATTATTTATCTATTTGTTTTTGTGTGTGCAATATAGTGTTTGTTCTAGTGTGTGTGAAAAATGCCCCAAAATGCAGCGAACGCATGGGAATAAGGACAAACCGGAGGATAAGAATAACAACGGCCGAAGCTGGAGCGAGCAGGATAGCGGCTGTCATCAGCGCCTCTTCCTGTGCATTGCCAAGGTGTGTGTGTGTGTGTGTGTTTGTGTGTGCATCCATCTCCTTCTCACACATGGGCATTGATTTTTACTTTCTAAGCTTTGCTTTGCTTTGCTTTGGTTTTCCCTCATCTCAGGATGCTCTCTTTCTTTATGTCTCTCTTTGCTACACGAAAGAAAAAAGTACATTGGTTAGGGATTTATTTCTTTAAATTAATTAAAAAAAAATTGTAAATTCAAGTTGGATTTAAACTTACTTAACATTGCTTATTGTCTAAAACTTATCTTGATTTACAGATTATTTTATTTGTTTTTTTTTTTTCTTTCATATTTCTTTTATTTCTTTACTGTGCATTTACTCTCCTTCGCATGCAGTTCTTTGCCTTTGCTGGGCTATTTATAGACAGTTTTTGTTGCCTTTTTGGCTCCTTCTTTCCTTTCCTCAACTTGTTGCTCTCTCTCTCTTCGTCGAGCTTCGAGATGTGTTCTTCTGTTGTTCTTTCTTCTCTAGTTCATTAGCATCGAACAAAGAGTTCTCCGGAGTTGGTTTCTTACCACCACCTGAGAATTACCGGGAAAGCCAGAAGAACAAACTGACTTATCGCTGATGCTGTGTATTTGTCTTACGAGTGAAAGAATGGTCCCGACTTACTTATACCCAAGTAGCTATCTTATCTGATTGGACATTAAAGAACTTCCCTACACATCATTTTGGGACAGAACAAAGAGAGTTTCAAAAAATTAGTACTAGATTGCCTAATACCGGGAAGCAAGAGTGTTAGATCTAGTAACTTAAGATATTGCAAATGGTTAGTTCTTCGAAGTCTTTTCATCAGAATAGCTATTAACTAAGACTTAACCATTTTAAAGGTAGTTCGCTGAAAATCGTCAAAGTTCAAGGAATCTCTTTTATCCATTAAAATTATTCAGTAATGTTTAAGGGATTACATTTTTGGCCAGCCTTCTTTAATTAAAAGCCTATCGTTTATCATTTAAAAGCTTGTTTAGAGTTCTTTTGTTACTAAAACCTCGTAATTTATAACTTTAAAGGTCTAAAAGATAGGTATTACTTAAACCTCTGTAGATTAAAGCTATTACGCTGACTAAGAAGTTCATGGAATTGCACACTTTTATTACGAAATACCTAGATTTCGGTTCCTCATATTTTCTAATTACTCACCTAATTCTTTCCATGAAATATGCTAACAGATATTTCCTTATTTAAAAGCATACCAGCTGTTGGTTGTATGAAATCATGTTCCATTTCCCTTGGCCCCTTCGTAAAGCAACAGCTGGTTTCTTTTGTATCTCGCCTCGCATTTCTTTTGGCTATTGGATTGGCCAAGTTCCGTTTGGAGCTCGGATTCGTACCATATGTAACACATCGCCATCTCACATAGCAGAAGAAACACGAGGCGAACGGGAGACCCGACATCAATTCGCATGCAAATGAAATTTCGCCGCCGCTTCTTTGCATTTCTCTCTAAGAGCGTTTGTTCATATGCAAATGGGCGTGGCGGTCGGTGGTGGGGGGTTGCTATTTGGATAGACAATGAAGATAAACCGTTTGAACAGCAGCATAGTGAATATTCTTGGATGAAGCCTAAATGAACAGACTTCATCTCCATCGCATTTTGAATTTTTAATAGTCCGGTCCCTCTATTGGAATACTTTCACATTTAGAATTTATACGAAAAAGGTATCTTAATCTCTTATCTTAGGATGCGGTTTTAGAATTTGTAAAGTAAAAAAGCTCTTATAAATACCATTTATTTCCTTATCTAAACTTATTTTAATCACTTTTCCAACATATTAAACTGAAATGACGGCAGTTCATGTTAGTGAGTCTAAACTTTAGCGGCACACAATGCGAACTGCGTAGTCTTTTGTCCCGCTCCGAGCTGCCACAATCCGCTATGGGGTCAGCTCTTTGCTGCTCCTCCTCATACCATGGCCCCCATATCACTCCCCGTAAACCAATTTGCGACTGCGCATTAAACGGAAGCATAATAAATGCGCTTTAGCCGGGCATTTCGAATCAATTGCGAAAGTGTGAAAGGAAGTTGCCCCTCCAGCGAGCAACCCCTTTTCCCCTCGTTGTGCGTTTCCTGCTGGAAGAAATTGTGCAAAATATTCTCAGACAACAATCTGTCAGCAATATCCTGCATCCTGTGAAAGGAAATCGTCGAAAGGAGCCGGAATGCAGACGTAAATAATGGCGGCAAGAGCCCTGTCAAAGATCTTGGGGATGGGTCTGCGGAATTCACTTGATGAGGGTTATTTCCTGAAGCTTACTGAATGGCTACAATGCGTTGGAAATGGAAAACCAACGGAGTAGGTGTGACTTTAAGAGATTGTCATTTAAGTTCAGGAATTGCTGTATATTCCAACATTAAAATTGGAACTATCAACAGCATTTCCTTTATAAATCATATATATAATCTAACATACTATCATTATAAAGATTGCATCGCTACGTTTCACCTCTTTTAACCGACCCAACCACTGTTGTCAACTCACTGACCAAGTTCAATTCAGCGTAAATATATGTACAGATTCTGATTTAATGCTCCATTTACTATAGAGCAATTGTTCACGACCAGAGATTAGTCAGCGATGAAATCACTAAGGATGAGTGATCTCTGAGCAGTAACTAATATATATGCTGATCCGTCAGATATGGCTGGTCAATACAGCTGTCCCCTCGTTATGCTATTCTCTCGAAGTGCATGTGCTGTGTGCTGTTTAGGTTTGGTTCTGTGTTTGGGTATTGGTTTGGGTCTTTACCCCAAGCGAATCATAACTGTCTGGCTGGGAGTTTGTTTTCCAATCGCTGATCGTTGGCTGATTTTTTAGAACCAGCGGCTTCCATGCTCAGAGTCCGTTAACAGAAGACTCTTCTCCAGAGATCGGAGACACCGATTTAGACATGGCCCCAAGCGGTTTTACAGTTTCCACGTAGAACCGAACGAAACGGATTGGAACAGTTGGCGGCGAGGTCTGTCGCTTTTACTTTGCATGCAAACAGTTAAGAAGGCTGGCAAAGCTTGTTGTTGTTTGTTGTTTGTTGTTGCTCTATTAACTGGCTCTGGCCAAGAGATTTACGTTGACTGTAATCATAACCATAACCATAACCAGAACTCAAACTCAAACTCGAACTGTGCACCGAAACCGGAAGTGAGTGAACCGCCTTCCGCCTTCTCTATAGTATATATCAGCTTGCTTGCTTTCTTTATATCTTTCTTTCATTCTTGCTTTAGCATAGCTAATTGACAAACAATCTTTTGTTTATGCTGAGCGATTCTTCAAGCGTTGAAACTATCCCCGAACCTACATTCTACATTCTTACGAAGCTGTAATTTATGGGAGAAATATTAAAAAGCAGAAAGTTTTATCTTCTAAAATTAGCATAATAAATAAATTAAGAAGTAGTCGTTTGTAAGATTAATCATCTCCTTTAACATGCTAAAAACTCCCTTAGAACTTCGGCTGGAACTAATGATCTTGAGTAAGCTTTTCTGATTTGATTGATTGAGATATATTTTCATGAATATTGATACATCAGCGCATTGCCATATGCATATGGTGCAGTCTTCTTTTTGGGACTGCCCAACAATGCTGAACTCATTCCACTGAACTTAGTCACAATCCGGGGCATTCGGGCGACTCTCTCCGATAAACCTTTTTGATTTCAAGTCCCAGCACCGCCCCGACCAGCCCCTTTGATCCATGCGCAGCAAAAGTGAAAGTAGCGCCGGCGGGGCCATTAGCGAGTATCTAAAATTAGACAAGACTTGGTGACCTGTTGGCCTAGGCCAGCTAACAAACACAGCGACAAAACAAACAACAAGCCCACAACCGACGGATGACACATCATAAACAAATACCACATACGAGTATCTAGTTACACTGTTGTTGTTTTTCTTTGGTTTTTCTTTGCTTTTCCAATTGCTTAGAGTTGCCTCGTTGAGGAAAGTCGTCTAATTACGGATCAAAGGATTTCGAATTTCGACTCCTGGCGGGGCGATTTATTTCGAGTTCATTTGAAGCGAACGAAATGAATATCTTATGTCATAACCATTAAAACCATTAAGCCCCTGTTCCAGACTCCGTGGCCATAATGTATTCGTAGAAAGACGCGAGATAAACAGACGCGATCGGGGGTAAAGAGGTGAGGATCATGAATACGATGACGCATAGCATAGCTCACCTCGCTTTTGGGCCACACATCATCCGAATCCGTTTCAAAGGAATCCCTGGACCCGCACACTGGGTTAAAGTAATGGGAAAAGTTGGAAATTCATTGGGTTTTAAAAATACTAATTTTTTTCTGATTAAACCTATGAAGTTTTTTGTTACTACTTTTTTATAGTATCTTCCACATATTATAATCATTTTTAGTTACTTTCTTTGGAAAAAGCATTTCATACGAAACGGCAATTATCTCTCATTTGGTTTCCGCATAAACGCAAATTACTTTGCAAAATCAATGACAATTCTCAAATATTTACCATGAACTTGCACTTTTTTTTTCGTTAAGCGAAAAATACAAAACTAATTTATGAGCATTGGCCAGTGAACGTGAGCTTCTAGAGCACAATTCATGCTAATTGATAGGCTTCGGTTCATTGAATGCCAACTTCTGCGAACTTCTCCAGATAAAGGCTCGAGTTCTCACGAACACAATTTGCTTGATAAGCTATCGGGCTTGTCGCTGCACTAATCAAACATCGACGTTATCAACGATCTGGCCCACTGTGCACCGGTCGAAGGGTGACATATGAGGGCTATGGTTACGGTTCCGTCTCCCTCTCCGTCTCTCTGTCTCTGTTTCTGTCTCCGCCGTATGACTCAAATTGTTGGTATGCCTCCCGCTGGCGCCGCCCGCGCCACCGCTTCCGAGAAAACGCTCAACGTGTTCTCTCTGCTTCTGCAGTTCGTTAACCGCAGCACCGCTGCTGCACAGAGCGAAAGAAAATTTGATCAAATTTTGTGTTAGGAAATACTTGATGTCAAAAATTTTGTATATTTATGTTGATTATTTCAATGGAAGATTAGTTTTGTGATTTTCCAAATTCCGCTTAAGATCTCAGCTAAGTTTCTTTCAGTGCATCTGCAATCAGTCGATGACGATGATTTCGCGGCGTCGGCAGCGCTGCCTTCCGCTCTGCCCGGCGATCGAAGTCAAGTGGTCGCGACTCGCGCGAGTGTTTGCAGTTTTCAGTACCCAAGAAACTTCGGACGCGGCGTGTCGCGAAAAAGGGAAGTGCGAAGAAGAGTGGCCAATAGTGAAGATCAGACCAAAAGGATTCCCAAAAAAAAAAAATCAACAGGATATATCATATTTTTGTTCAGGTGTCTTAGTTAGTGCGAATGTTCGGTTAGTGAGTTAAGTTTAACTAAAGAAGAAGAAGACCATGGTGCATCTGTATCAACGACGTCGCAGCCGCGAACAGGTGGGTTTCGATCGGTTCCAATCAGTTCCGTTCTGGGCCGCATATATGTATATAGGAGTATATTTGTATACCTGTGAGCGTGCCTAGCATTTGGATTGACTAATTAGTTGGGGTAGAAAATCGCTTGAATGAAGAAGCCACACCAAAGGCTGAATGAAGCAATTGGAAATTGATGGAATTTGCACCTGGTTAATGGCAACTAAGAAGATACAGCCAGTTGTATTAATAAACATAGGAAAACCGGCAACGGGAGAGAGACAGACAGAGAGAGAGAGAGTGAGATAAGGAAAAGGCCTCAATTGGTTCGACAATAATGACGAATTGGCTTTAATTAAACAATTCCCACAATCGTATAATGCTTTAATTTCGTTGATCCGACACTTTGGTGGCTTGGATCGCATTGCATTAACCTTGATACGCTGGAAACGGGGTCAACACACCCCACAAGCTGACTTCTCCTCCAACGACTGATGACCCATTAAGGAATGAATGAAACTTGCACTTATCGCCCAAACTTGATATTGAGTACATATGTATAATTATTATCTTTAGCAAGAGTTATATTATTAATAATGTTATGTATTTGGAGAAGCGTAATCAAATTCGTTTGCGGAAATTGCCAGATACAGAAGAAGATTGTTCGAAAAGCCAAAAGGTGGCACATTTGTTGATATTTCCCCATTTACACGCTTAATCTCGACCCATTTCGAGGCAGATAAGGTGGGCACAGTGCAATAGCATTGCACAATGTATAGAGTATGTTACTATATACAGTGGTATATATATTATGTACAATACAGCAGCATTGTTAGCACTTAGTGATGTGATCATGGGCGTGAGCCATTAACTCAAAATGAAAGATGATGCACCGTGTTTAATTGCCCAGCATCACGAAATCGTGAGAATCCAAAAACAACACAGAGTTTGCATCACTCAATGAACTGCAGAAATTTATGATCAGCCTGGGCTGAACTAGTTCCGCTGACCATAAAGACTGCGATTTTATTGATCAGCAGCAACTCGTTCTCAGTCGATAGGACAAAACCCATGAATCAAAATGGGCAATGGCAAAGCGGAAACCAGTTGACCACTTTATGTGGGTCAAAGTGGCAGAACTAGTTCCGTAATTTAACCAATTGTCGTAAATTCAGTTGGTTATGACGGAGGTCCCATTGAAGCCTAACCCGTTCCCGCTCACTGCAGATGGTCTTAATGGGGGGCTATCTTTTCAGATCTCCAAGATATTTGTTAAGATACTGGACTTAAGCGGTTAACTTGTACTGTCAGATAAATATTTCCCATAAATTCAAAGTGTTATGGCTGAAATTGATTTTCTAAAAGCAATCTAATCGAAGATTATATATCCCATAAATTGGATTAATATCTATGAAATGGAAGGGCTGAAAAGGGGGCTTAGTTTTTCTGACTACGAGAAAGAAACATCTATCTTATAATCTTTTCTTTTTCCTTAAACCTATTTTCCAGGCTGTGAAACAATTCATTGATCTCTGCAACAATCTGGGTGCTAACTGCAGCACGACGACATCCACATCTCCGTCAGTTTCCTCCTCCTCAGCCAGCAGTACGCAGAACTTAATAGGGGTTGTGCCGCCACAGTTACAACAGCAGCTGCAGGTGCAATTACCACCGCCAGCTGGTGGGGGAGAAGGTGGAGGTGGTGCGGCGCCTGTGAGGCGGCACATATCGCATACGACAGCCGTTAAGTTTCTGTACGCCCGTAAATTTGATATACCGCGAGCGGTCTCACTGTACGAGCAGCATGAACAGATCCGCCTGAAGGAGGATCTCTATAACATTGATCCGGATGTGGAGCCTTTGCGCTCCGAGCTGCAGACCGGCAAGTTCACAATCCTGGTAAGACTATATATATATATATACCCCAATCCTTTCTAGAAACAAGTTTATAACTGTATTTGGTTTTTGCTTTCAGCCCGCTCGCACTTCCAGTGGGGCTGCCATCGCCCTCTTCACCGCCAATCGACACAGTCCGCTGAGCGTTTCGCATAGGACCACGCTACAGGGCATCGTCTATCAGCTGGACAGTGCGCTTCAGGACTCGGAGACACAGCGCGCCGGCCTCGTCTTTATCTACGACATGAGCGGCTCCAAGTATTCAAACTTTGACTACGACCTCTCCCAGAAGATTCTCACGCTGCTGAAGGTGAGTTTCGATCGGGCAACATGGCATACTTTTAGGCAGCGATGGCTAGGCAGCCTCTAGCTAGGCTTAGGAGCTATTTTGTCGAGCTATTTTGTCGAAATGGTTTGTTAAGAGTCTTAATGTATAAAGGAATTTTGTTGTAATTATTTCTTGGCCTGCCTTTAGCTTGAGGAAAGTCTCCTTTGTGTAGAAAGTTGTGATAAGACGACTAGCGATGTCTGGTTAAAAGCATATTAAGCTTAGTTAAGGGTTTAATCTAAGTAAGGTTTTAATATTAATCAAAAATCTGTAGAAGTCTTTGTTTTGGACACATTTTAAAGATCGTAAAGCCTTAACTTAATAATAGTTTCAATCTAATTTAAGACAAAGCCATTCAATATGCTGTAATGTGTAGAAAACTTTAGCTTAAAAAGCGTTACGAAAAAAGTGCAAAGTTTGGCCAGAAAAATGTCAGATGTTAGGTAGAATCCGACATATTTCCAGGTGGCCTGTCATCAGAGTGGCTGCCTGCCCCCTGCAGTTTGGCCCATTGTCGCACTTCCGGCTGTTTGGCAAGTCAAAAGTCAACGCAACGCAATCCCAGCTTGCCCCACAAAGGCACGAAGCGTGTCACGGCGGCCCCTGAAATTAAAATATTAAACATGCCTCTATTAATACAAAAGATATTTTTCATGCCCATATGCGCGGTTTTTGTTTTTTGTTTGTGTCGTATCTGTGAATCGGCGGGTGTATTCGCGCATCCAACTATCCGAGTTTCTGTGCCAAGTGGCCTGTGGATTCTCTATCAACGTTGGAATGACGGGAAAAATGTCTTCAAGCTGAAAATTTCTGTCTCGTTTCGTTGGCTTTTCATGTCATGCGTCAAATGTTTCTCTTTTTTCATATTTACTTTGTGGTTCTTGTTGATTGAAAGGAAGTGGGAGGTATCGCAGTGCTGCTATTGGGCAAGTTCTATAGTCTTTAAGGCCATTTTTGGGTTGTTCGTTTGTGTATTAACAAAGAGCAGATGGAGGCTATATTGTCAGTTTGCTAAGTTTTAGTTTCTTAAAGCAGTTTTTCGATCTTATTATTACCTTAATAATGTATCTATGACTTATAGTTTATACAACAAGAAATTTAAGTAAGTTAAAGTTAAGTTATTAACTTAAAAATCTAGACTAACTTGGGCAACATTGCAGAAAGTATGTGGGCTTAACTAGGCGCAAATGTTTTCCCCTTTTTTATTTTTTTGTTGAAGTTACTTTCGAGAAGTGTGGTTTGTAGGCCCTTTGAGTGCTGTTGTGGCTTTTCTATTATTCCGCTGTTCCGCCCATAAAAGTTAGTTATTCGCTTTGTTTTTTACATGAACTCCCATAAAATATTACTGTCGTACCTGACTCGGAAATCCTTGTTGGAGGAAGTAGTTGAGTGCACACAATCAGCGCCAGAACAAAAACAAAATATAAACCCCTCTCTAACTACAGCCACACACATGCACGCAGGCAGTAGGGAGGAGGGTGGTGGTGAGTTGTAGGAGGTGGAAGGTGGGAGGCAGTGTACGGTAGGCGTGGCAATCACAGCATGCGCTGCGTGGGCAGCAGCTTTAGTCTGCCTACGCGAAAGCTGAAAACAACTACTCCTCCCTTAGTCATACAGAGTAAGACGTAATTTTGATTGGGGACAACCCACTGTCGCCACCCCCTACTTTTACCACCCCCTCCCCACCACTATTTGCATAAAATAAAAAAGAAGAAGCGCAAACACACACACACACACACACACCAAAAGCAACAACAGGTAGTAGCTATCATCATCCCAGTTTGCTGTCTTGTTTTCCATTTCATTTGCTTTTCGTTTACTCGAGTCCCACATTTTTGTGCTCTTTGCTGTTTGGCCGTTTGTCATGAAATTGCGTTCTACTTGTCGTCCGTTGTCGTCCTACTGCCAATGTACAGTTACTAGAGATCGTAGCCTGAACGAAAATCTATATAAAATCAGACGTATTATGAGGAGGGAGAAATCGCCGGCCGGCATTGAAAGTCCGCGAATATTGAAGGAGTCTCTTGACATATTTCGTTTAATTTGCCAAAAAGCCTCTTCAGGTCATATGTATGTATGTATGTATGTATGTATGTTTGTATGTTTGTATGTATGTATGTTTGTATGTTTGTATGTATGTATGTATGTATGTATGTAGATATATGATTAAACATTTACATTGGTGTTTATCTGCCTACCTATATTTGTATATGCGTACATAATCTGCCCACTCAGATATACAGGCTGGGCTATACAAATATCAATCATGATTCGGTATCTAACATAAGTTCATACTATTTTTATTGGCAAATTGAAAATATAGAAAAACGATCTTTTTAACGATGGAAATCTTTTAAATTTAATAACTGCTGGAAAATAAAGTAAGAGTTTTGGTAACCCCAAACTGCTATTAAAGAGCTTTTCAAAGAATGATCATAAATTACGGTAGAAAAATTAAATTTTTATTCCTGTTTATGGCCTAAAATACTCTCTTAAGGATCACCTTGGCTTAGTAAATTTTATTCAAAATTAAATTCAATATTTCTTTCTTGCTGTACTATTTTTCTGGTCATGACTGTATGAATATATATCCATCCGAACATATATATATTTATTTCATTCTGCCACGAAAATCAAAATAAAGTTAACAATGAAAACGATTCGGTGTGGGCGAGCTCTTCCCTCGCAAATGGCACGCCAGTGGTCAGAGGGAGATAGAGCCCGAGCTAGACGGTTTGCTGAGGAAGAGGAAGTGCGGGAGAATGAGAGAGTGTCCAATAACCGTTCTCTTTGGCGCGTGTCTTAATAATATTTCGTATTTCGTGGAATGAGAGAAAGAGAGAGAGAGAGAGAGAGAGCGTAATAAAGATAAGTTGCGTTGGCGGTAAGCTCAAAGTTCGTGACGTCATGGCAATTGGAAAGAAAAGACAAAAAATCACGGCAACTCTGGCTTTTGTACTAAGCCGCGTATGCGCAATATTTTGGGGCCATCACGCATACGCAACGTTGTGGCAATGTGAGGATAGAAGAAGAGATCGTAACATGCACGCACACATGCATAATGTGGAATGTGCCCACGCTTTTTCACTCTCACTTTTACGCAGAGAGTGCGGAAGTGGGAGAGAGAGACACGGAGACTAGGTTCATGCGTAGTGAAATTCATTAAAAATTGTTTAGTTTTTAGTTTTCGGTGGATTTCAGCTACAGTTAAGGCTCCCTTAGTTATTGAAATAGTTTTAACAGGAGAAAAATTAATATTAATTAAGACCCTTAATTAAGCAAACATGACATAAATATGTCATATTTAATCTGCGCTTTTCGATTGGATACCTTCATATCGCGATTTCAATAATTCACGAAAGTTATGGCAGAAACATGGTAGTATATGGAGAGAGAAGAAGAGAGAGAGAGAGAGCTGGGGAGAGAGCAAAGCTTCGCGGCGCGCTCTTTGCCGCTGGGTCGCTGGTGGCTATCTTACGATTTTGCTTGATTAACTAATTCAGTTGACGTGTTCTAGTCGAACGTTATAGATTGTACCTAAAGGCACACCCCCGCCAGTCCCTTAGCCAAAAGGAATACAAACGCGCGCAAAGAGCGGTAAAAATGTGCGTCTATATGGAAAAGCCATTTCCCATTTCCGATGCACGCGTGTGAAAGTTTTCTTCTGCTATTTTTCGTTTTGTTTTTTTGGTGGTTTGGTTGCATGCCTTTGCCTAGCTTTTGATTGCTGCACTTGGCCCACAAACACTTGATCAAACAGTGATTGACGGCGGGATAATTTGGACGTATTTATAGATCGTTTGGAAAAGCGGCGCGCAGTTCATTCATTGCTCAGTTGGCTTAAATACGATTAATACCCGATGACGCCGTCGATATGTTAACGCTTTTGTTATTGTTGTGTCGATACGTTGGCCGTGCGGCTGCTAGCTGCTAGCTGCTGGCTGCTGGGTTGTGTTATTTTTACAACGTGCTTTCTGTTACCACAGCAGTTCGACATTGACGCAAATGTTTAGACCAGACCCGAGTCACTAAATGCAAATTTATACACCAGAAAACGTAACGAGAGAATTGTACGCCCTCGGAACGTGGAGTACTCCGCTTCCGCATTACAAGAGTGGTTCCGGAAAATCCAAAAAAAAAAAAAAAATTATACAAAATAATCAAAAAATGGCGTTTTACTGGTCAAAAAATATTATATTCGAATGACTAGTTCGGAAAAGTGAAGTGGCGTGTTTTCCATATAAATTTTGTAAACAGTTTTATGACTTTTGAACGTGGAACCTTTTCGCTGTACCTCTATTGATAATTCAAAGGTGTGATCAGTTCTTCGTAACTTGTTAAATAATACAATAATATGGTTGCGCAGTTTATATTTTTGATTTGTTTACGAAAGAAATTAGCTATTGGAGAGCCAAAAATACGTAAATAGCTTTAAGATTAAATGAACGAAGTAAACTTATCTTATCGATGCCATTAGTATTTTGAAGTTATAGTAGCCGTTTCCCTCTCACTGCCCGGGAAATACCATTTAGCTTTGCTTAAACTAAAAGCAAATATTGAAAAATTCCAAACGCACAGTCATCCATGCTTAGGTCACTTTTGAATGTGATTTCTTTTCCGTTCATTGTCGTTCTCCTTATGGGCTGATGTGTTTTGAAACTTCGATGACTATTCGCAGCGTTATTAATAGTCATCTTAATTTTTTGGCAATCTGCATTAATCGGAAACGATTCGAATGTTTTGGCGAGTTTTTAGTCAGGCTTACAACCCTGTTGGCAAGTTAAGTTTATGGTCAGTCTTCTTGTTGAGTGGTTTTTGATCTCTGATAAATATTTGTGAATTAAAAATTTGGAGAGTGAACTCTCATTAAAAAGTTAGTCATTATTTAAGATTATTAAAGAAACTGCCTTTATATGTAGATGCCTTTTTCCTACATAGATATGATCACCCTTTAAGATACCTAAAAAGTACTAAGCGGCCTC